CCTGACTAATTAGCAGAAAGATATTTAAGGAGGAATCAAGAAAATGGATCCAATCAACTTGAATAATATGCTCCATTCTCCAAGATCACAAATATATATTTGGTTATTTGATAACTGATTGATTTAAACAGAAAGATGAGGACAAAAGCCTGTTACTCAAAATGGAGCTTTGATCTGGCACCCATTTTTTTTTTTTTTTTTGGACAAATTAATCATGTTCTAGAAGAGCAGAATTTAACATAGGGCCCTCTGTTTTCAATCAAAGATAGAATCTGCCATTCAATATCATACTTTTCTTCTATTAGGTGTTCTAAAAGATTATCAACCCCTTAGCTTTTTATATCATTGTTTCCGGATATACATGGGAAGCATCCCCCACATTTTCTAATGAGGATTGTGTTTACGTTGGTTTCTTCTTGCTTGAAGCAAATAACGATCCTATGCACAGAAAGCAGAGGATAAATAAATAACCATGCTGAATGTTATATTTGGTGGAATCTCGCCCCTCCCTTGCTTAATCTATCAAAGTAATATTCCCAGTTTCATTGTTTATTGGTCCTTTTAGGGAGAGCTTCAGCTTTTACTTGAGGGTTGTAAGCACATTAGAGAAATAATTCCCTCTGGGTACTATGGAGAAGGAGCCACCTGCAAGATGTTGATGCTGTTATTGAAATCTCAAGTGGAGTCAGCTTTCAAAAAATTAGATATTAGATACATCCGATATAATTTGCAATGTGTAATTATACTAATGTGCGTATAGTTGTGTGTGGCTTTACATGTTGCCTACTTGAGATCCCCACCCCCCTTGGGCATTTGTCATCATTTGAAATGGCTTCTGAGTAGAAAGTTCTTAAAATCAGCTTTAAAAAATATTCTTGCTAATTAATATAAGAGTAAAAGGACTCCATGGTCTGTGTCCCCATGCAAGAATGAATGGCTGTGTATGACCTTGATATTGGAAGATAATGGTCTCTAAGAGGGTTATCATTGTGGACATTGGAGCTAGTTGAGAAATATTTGCTACTCTTTCCTGATTTACTCTTTATCCAGACTTGGGATAATTTGCGAAGTGAATGGAAACTATTAGAAGAGTAAATCTTATTCGTAAGAAATCCATTTCCTTTACTGGGATGAGATAAACTGCCAGGGAAATGGCGTTAGGCAGAGATAGTAATTTTTGATGGAATCCAAGTAACCAAAATCGTAACGATAATAACTTCTTTTCCATTTTTACTCCATTTTGCATGGCACGTGATGAATAACTAAAACTCTGCCTTAGGTCATTTATGCATTAACATCAACTTCCCTTTCGGTGTCTCAACACGGTGTTTCATTGGACTGAAGACCCCCTCCCCACCAAGGAGCTGACCCCTGAAGATCTAGCTATTAAGGAAAAACCCAGGCAGTGCGACAGTGCGCTGATTGGTCAGCCTGGCGCTTGGTACTTGGTCTACACTCAGTAGGTGAAGATGTTCTTGAGCAAATTTGGAGAATCATTACCATCAGATCACAGAGGGACCCCGAGCAAGGCTCTGTAAAGGGCCCAATTTATGCTTATATGTTTGGGAGACAAAAAGGATTCCAAAGGAGGTTCATTTGAGATGATACAAGATACCACTCATTCCAATTAAGTAGGCAGAGATCCTAAAGAAGGCTGATTTGTTAAACATTTGACTCATAATAGACACAAGAATGTGGTGGCTCACATTTATATACTGTTGTCTCCTCAAAACTCATTTTAATAATGGGGCCCACATCCTAAAGGAGGCATTTTACACAGGCTGTATTGTATCTATGCAAAAGCAAAGCAATGCATTATTTTACTTTTCATTTGCTCAAATATACAAGGACTTTCCATGACTGGCCACCCCCTAAAATTGTGCGAAGCGCGTCCTTCCTTACTCCAGTAGCATTTTAATGTATTCACACATGAGTCTTACACACCTGTGCTTAGCAACCCCCTTCCCAAACTATGTTCACAGAATATTGAGTTCTAAAACATAGAATTCTGCAAGATATATTTTCAGTTACTCATCCAAGATCAGTTGTTGCATGCTTGATCGGAACAGAAAAACACTGGGGCGCCTAGGTGGCTCAGTTGGTTGGGCGTCCTACTTCGGCTCAGGTCATGATCTCACAGTTTGTGGGTTCGAGCCCCATGTCAGGCTCTGTGCTGACAGCTAGCTCAGAGCCTGGATCCTCCTTCAGATTCTGTGTCTCCCTCTCTCTCTGACTTTCCCCTGCTCAAGCTGTCTCTCTCAGAAATAAATAAAACATTAAAAAAATTTTTTAAAAGAACAGAAAAACACCTGTTAACAATATGTCATACAGGGTTGTATTTTAGGTTTCAGAGAAAAAATTATCACACCTGCTATCGAAAGACCCACCTCCAATGTATCCAAAGTGTTTAGGGCAGATATGTGGCAGTATATCAGTGGTATGTGCTGGTATAACTCTTTTGCTGTGCCTAACTCATTATGTATCTTCACTGCTCTGTTGTCATGAAAAGGATGACAATAAAGGGTTTCAGTAAATTAAAATCCACCTGCAAAGCATATTTCATTCATAACAACTTTTGCAGAATACAAGAAACATTAATACAGCTCTTCCCAAATATCCTTATCTGCAAAATGAGTCGGTTGGATGAGTTGGTCTCTAAATGTTTTTACAATCTTAAGAATTTTTGAAGTTGCTCTAGAGTGTAGAAACAGAAGAAGACCCCGGAATCCGGAGTCTGTTTTTACCGACAGATGTCCTTTAAAGTTATATTTGATTCCACCTCCAGGTGCTTTATTTACTAACATCTTTTGCCTTGCTGCTAAAACAGTTAAGTCTGAAGTTCATTTTCGAGAAGGGCAGAGACAAAAAAGAGGAACAGCTGAAGAATGAAAAAAGCTACACGGTGGGAGAAGGAAATTCTTGATCTGACTTCTAAGTCCATGTCCTTCACCATTAACATGAAGAAACCCAGACAAGCACCTGCCTTTCTATTTTAAGACCATATTCTTTGGTCCTTCTGCCTTCATTTAATTTCTTAGAGCCTGGTTTTGTTTTACCTCTTTGGGTTGACAGCTTTGAGTTTCACGTTTCCCTTTCCATTCAATTCCTCTGAATCATGTTAATATTCCCTTCAAAACCCACAAAGTCACATTAAGATGCCAAGTTTCCCAAATTAAATCTTAACATGTTCAAAACCTCCTGAAAATTGCCTTACCCTATTTTCTGAAGCCACTCCAAATGTATAATCTCTCCTTGAATTAAGCAAGCCTGCTCTTCCTAGCTTCCAGTCTTTGCATGAGCTTGCACACTACTTTTCCTCCCGCACACTCTGTCCCTCCACAACTGGGACATTTCAGAAAACTTTCTCCCTTTCTTTCTTTCTTTCTTTCTTTCTTTCTTTCTTTCTTTCTTTCTTTCTTTCTTTCTTTCTTTCTTTCTTTTTCTTTCTTTTTTTCTCTCTCCCTTCCTTCCTTCCTTCCTTCCTTTCTCTCCCTCCCTCCACCTCCATTCTTTCTTCTCTCCCTTCCTTCCTCCCTCCCTCCCTTCCTTCTTTTCATCCTTCTTTCTTCCCTTCCTCCCTCCCTTCTTCCTTCTTCAATCTCTCCCTTCCTCCCTCTCTTTTGTTTTTCCTTTCCTTCTTTCTTTCAGTGGGCACCATGTGTCATGCTCTGAGCCAGACACTAGAAATACAAAGACAAATACAAGAAACTGACATTAGCTCCTAACAATTCCAGTGACTTCATTCACCCCTGCGTTGCTAAGCACTTCTGTATCCCCAATTATTTTATTTTGCCTCTAGTCTTTAGATTGATTTGAATTTGTCCTCAATGTCCTGTGTTCTTTTGTTGTTTTCCTACGTGTCCTATTTCAGTAAGTTGCCTGTTGGATAACCCTGAAGCTTTTCTTACGGAGCTTTTTCTCCCCTAGTGATTAGCGTGGGATGCTCACATGCTCAAGCAATGCTGTTGCTTGACTGATCCTTGAGCGACGTGAAGAGTGAGGAAGTGCCACGTCTTTCTGGTGACGCAGCATTTCGCATGGAGTTAGAAATAGTTTGGCCCCCAAGTATAATTACGTTTACTTATTTTTATCAAAGAGTCAATGTGATAACTTTCTGTGACATGTTCTATTATTTTTTTAGTCGTGTCGATGTTCCTTTCAGCTGGTCCTATAGCCCCTTTACCCTCCCTCCCCCCCAGGAAGGTCTCCCCAGTGAAAGGACAAAAACTTCAGAGACACAGCTGCACTGATGGACGCTCAAGCCAACAATGGAGTTGAAACAAAGAGAGAGATCACCTGGACACCTTCCCTGCTAAGCAACACACCCCAAATGGCGCAGTTACACGCAATAGAACTCTCAGAACAGGAGGCAATCCTTCCAAGAAACAGAAAAATTTTAACAGTGACATCTAGATTTCTAAAGAGCCAAGGACTGTCCCTTCCTCATGTGTATTCCTCTGTTTGTATTTAAATTCAGTGTGACATTCATTTCTAAAATATTTTCCCAGGATAAGTATGCTTATTAATGCATCAGTTTTTTTTTACAACAGAACATTGCATGCATGTGTTCATGTGGTAAGGAGCAAAATTAGTGCTATAAGAACATCAGTTTTTAGCCACACACAGTTTGATCTTAAGAGTGACCTAAGGGAACATAAAGTACTTTTGAAATACCAGAGTAGTCAGAGGCAATCGGAAGGATAAAATAATGGACATTATCACACCCGACACCAACTAGTCAACCATTCTTTTAATCAAGCAAGATAGGTTTGCTGAGACATGGTCACTGCCTCTAAAGAGTTTAAATTTAATTAGACAGGGATACATAAACTTTTGAAAAGATAGGAGCAAATCAGGTCCATGGATGTTAAGATCACAACAAAGCTAAAGAGTTTAGAGGAGGTCACCATAATCTGGGCAAGCCTGACCTATTTAGGGAAGAAAGTTCCCAAAGGAGGAAAATACAAGATGAATCTTAAAGGATAGTAAGAATTAGGGACACCTGGTTGGCTCAGTTGGTAGGGCATGAGACTGTTAATCTCAACATTGTGAGTTCAAGTCTCACGTGGGGCATAGAGTCTACTTACAAAAAAAAAAAAAAAAAAAGGAGAGGCATTAAAGATTTAGATGAATGGAAAGGAATGAGAGAATAGATTCCTTTAAATGAATGTAATGTTGTGAGCACAGCCATGGAGGAGGGAATCTATGTGGTGAATATAGAGAATTATGAGTATACATGTCTGGTTGACACTCAATGCCAGCATATATGGTAAGGACTTCACACACACATCCCCTCTCCCACCTTGGGTTTCATCTAGAATTATCATCTTATTTTCCACCAAAGCAAGTGGGAGTGACTGGTGGTAATATGAGAACTTATGATTTTTCTTGAAGTTAATAATAGTTAGTATTCATCGAGCTCTTAACTGTATGTTAAGCATTTTACATATGAACTCACTTAAGCCTGCAACTCAGAAAAGCCCTGCAAAATAAGTATTATTATCCCTGTTTTGAAGCTAACATTTAATGAGATTAAGTAACTTGCAACTGCCATGCTCAGGATTCACATTCAAGAATTGTGATTGTAAATCTCATGATAACATAGTCACAATATTGTGATCAGTGTTGCAATATCACCACTTCTGTATTCCCCAATAGTTTTTTTATGGTAAACAAATAGCTATGACCTTCAGTTATCTCCTCAAATTTTTCAATTTTCTGCTTACATTACATTAGAATGATCAGACGAGATCAGGGGCATTCAGGGTAGAATGATCGGAAAACTTTTTCATGGGAGAAAACTGATGGAATTGGGGAATAGAGCTTATCAGCATTTTAGGCTTTTCTTTGTTTTTTTGTTTGTTTGTTTGTTTGTTTGTTTTGCCAGATGTTGAGGAAATTGTTCACCTTATTCTGCATGAAATCTGAAATTCTTGAGAATTAATAAAAAGAGGGGGAACTCTAAGGTCATCTGTTGCAATATGCATTTCTACAGAGGACAAATCAAAGTTGGAGTGACTTATAAAGAACTCATACATTTGAATGTGGCAGAGCTAGGTCCAGAAATCAGGCTGTCCAGTCTCTTCTCAGAGGCTCTTGAACTACTCCACCCTGCCTAAGTGAAGTCGGAACTTGAATCTGATCAAGGAAAGCATTATCTCTGGTGATCAGGGAGCAGTACACCTAACAGATTGTTTCAAATTTGCACCTTTTTGGCTTCCCACCTCAATGTGAGAAATAGCCAGTTATGAACTAACATCTTCTGACACAGATAGACCATTGTCATGGTCCATCCCTGAAGAACACGTAATGGCTCAAATCACATGTACAATGTCTTCAATGATATTCTTAGGTTATTTGGAATTCTTGGCTCACCTAAACAAATCAGATCTTCTAATGAGCATTTCCTTACCCAATTTTATGCACAGTATGTATTTGTTAGTGCTTCTGCATGAATGTTTACACACGGCTGTTTCAATAGTCCTTATGTTTTTGAAAATATCAATGGTTATTTGCTATTCTAATCCTCACTTATCCAGGTACTGACTCAAGAATACTTCAGCCATAAAAAGCTAAAAGTGAGGAAATCTCGCTCTTTTTTACCAGCTCTTTCGTGTTTAGTTGGCATTTAGTAATGATTAATAAAGTGGTCAGCTGGATAACACAGTTCCAAGATGCAATTCTGTCTTGAAAGTGTCAGTTAAATCTGTGTCTACTTACAGACAAACATCGAGATATTTGGAAGCACCTGAATATGTGACTATTGTAAATTTCCACTTCAAAATCTGGCATTGTCAGACCTAGACCTCCTTGTGGCTCAGGCCAATCTGCTTTCAAAATGATGACTATTGGCCATATCTTGCACAGTTCTCATTAAATGAGTAGTCAAGCACAAAATGTGACTGTTACATTTTCTGAGACTTTGTCGTATGCCCTTGAATCCCCAAATAAAAGCAATGTTGCATCAACTGTGAACTTGTGTTGATTTCTTGGAAGAGCATGCTCTCATAATTTGCTTGTTTCCACTAGTGTATATCAAAGCTAGTTTCAGGATCCACGAGGAGCAATTAACCTGAAGTGAAGGGAAAACGTAAATTCAGAGACCATTGCTAACAATCCCATATTGCCTTTCAGTAAATAGCACTGTCATCTACCCAGGTCAGAAAGCAAGGTGTGGCCCTTGTCTTTTCCTCCTTTCAACTGTCATGACCAATCAGTCAGGAAAGACATTTACATTTTCCCTTCTTGTGTTTTCAAATACATCTGCTTCTCTTCATCTTCTGTGCAGCTGTAGTTAAGACAGCCATCATTTCTCACCTGGACTACGGCAGCATTCCTCCAGTGTTTCCCTCCATACCATCAAGCAGCCACCAGGGAACTCTCTCTAAACCACAGATATGGTCATATCATTCCACAGTTCCATACTTTTCACTGATTTCCCATTGCCCTTGGAATAGTGTGATACCTAAAACCCTTCATATCCTAGATCCTGGTCCAAACATTCCTCTCTGGACTCATTGAGGGACTGTTTCCCACTGCTGTTCTAGGTTCTTGCCATACCACTTTGCCATTTCTTAATGTTCTCTTTATCTTCTGGGCTTTCTCACACACCTAAACCTCTGCTTAGTACTCTTTCTGATACCCTTTCCAGATCCATCTCTTGTCCTTCTGGTCTCGTTCTGGAAGTCATTTCTTCTTGGAAGTTTCCACCGTCATTCACTACCCCTACACAAGATGAGTTTCCTCATATAGAAGCTTTCATAGTATTCTGTGCTCACTTCATATTAGCACTTATCACCCAGATTATGATCATTTATGTGCCAGTCTCCTCCATTTGAATGTAAAATTCTAGACCTGCCTTGTTGGACCTTAGCTGGATACGATAGCCACTTGCCACATGTGACTACATCAATTTAAATCAAGTAATATTGAAGAAAATTAAAAATTCAGTTTCTCAGTTGCACTGGCCGTCTCTCAAGTGCTCAATAGTCAGATATGACAAGTGACTCCCCTGCTGAGCTGCACATATAGCACAATTCTATCACTGATAAAATTCTATTGGACAATACAGTTCTGAAAGACAAGTAATGGGTTTTGCTTGTCATTTCAGCCCCTAGACTTGCAGCCTTTTTAAACTTGTATTTGGTGAGGGGCACCTGGGTGGCTCAGTCAGTTAAACATCCGACTTTGGCTCAGGTCATGATATCACGGTTTGTGAGTTGCAGCCCCATGTCAGGCTCTGTGCTGACAGCTCAGGGCCTGTAGCCTGCTTCAGATTCTATGTCTCCCTCTCTCTCTCTGCCCCTCCTCCCTCCTCTCTTTCTATCTCTATCTGTCTCTCTTTGTCTCTCTCTCTCACACACACACATACACAAATAAACATTAAAAAAATAAACTTGGATTTGTTTAAAATTCACCTGAATCACAGAGCAAAAAATTGAGTAACTATTTTTTTCCCAGTTTTCCTAAGAATGATATCTAACTAAAACGATACTATATGCATACAAAGGAAATTAATTCATGACATATTAAGATGCCCAGAATAATAAAGGTTTCATTGTAACATAAAACCCTCATTGAGAAAGTTGACAATGGGCTATCCTAGTATGTGGTGCAATGTAAGTACTTCATAAATACCTGCTGAATGAATGAATGATGCATCTGGATTCTTAGACATTTTGTTTTATTCATTTCCACCTAGATGTGTAGAGTCATGTAAGAGACATGTCTTTAGATTCCAGAAGGCCTCTTTTCAAGAGGATGTGGTGATAGATGAGTTCCTCACTTTCATCTCAAGGATAGTTGAATTGTAGCAGTGCAATGGGATTACCCGCTATTTCACTTCCCTTCATTGTTTACACTGGCAACCATTAGTAAAGAACTGAGTTCCTATTCAGTGAATAAGATCAAAGTGAAAACGATCAAAGTAGATACCAGATTTGATAAGCCCCATTTCTCTTAGAGATTGGCCAATGTGCACTAAAAATGTTGATCATTTCCTGAGCAACTACTATGTCCAAGACATTTTGTTAGGTCCTGGGTATACAAGAAAGTGACAAGACAGACACAATCCCTGTGCTCATAGTGAAACATTAATGTTACTTCAATTCCTCTCCCTGCCTTGTACCCAAAGCAGGAGTTCTCAACATTGATTGACTGCATACTGTAACGACCTGTGGAGTTTAAAGAATAACGATACCGGGGGTCTTTCCCCAAAAGGTTCTGATTTAACTGGTGTGGGGCAGCAGTTTAAGATTTTCTTAAAGCCTCCCGGGTGACTGTTACATGCAACCAAGTTGAGAACTATTAATTCATCAGGACATAATCTTGGAGTGAGCTTGGAGATTAAAAGTTTTCAGTATTGATAATTGATAGCCTATTCAAATCAAAAAAGGAAACTTTAAAGTCTTCTGTCTAACATATCTACATTCTACCTTTTATTCCTCAGAATATAAGCTGGTACTTAGGAGTCACTAAGTTGTCCAGCTCAAACAGCCAGTTCATGACTTAGATACGATCTGACCTCAGGTTTCTGACTCTAACACCATACTCTTTCTGATCCACTGAGATGTCTCAGGGAATCAGAAATTATAATTATCTTCAAGTCAAGAGACAACCGACATCCACTGTGGTCATGATTTTTTAAAGCAAGAATTGAATTTCGGCCAGTTTGAATCCCATGTACTCACAGTCTTCCACTAATCAAAAGTCAGCCCCATGGATTTGTTTTGTTAGAGCACAACATCTTTTTTAGGGAAAACACACAACATTCCATATATAATTGTAAAGAGAGAGTTCAGGTTCCCAGGGGCCATACCCAGTCTTACAACTCCACATGTAACTAGGAAGGACATTTTGCCTTTAAACTTGAACTACTTACTAGCAAAAATGGTAGGAGGAGGAGAAAAATAGAGTGCATTGTGCTCCCACATTCTCTGTCTCCACCCACCTTGTTACAGGACATTCCATTGAGTTTAACGTTTCACAGCACAGGTAAAAATTTCCAGTCTGTCCCCATGAGAAAAGCTGACTTTGAGAAATAAGTACCATTAAAAAAAAAAAATTGGGGCGCC